GTGGGGCTTTGAATATATGGTGAAATATATCCTTATCGGGGCTACATATTCAATTGAGCCCTTTTTATAAAACCCCCAGTGAATTTGTACATAGTTTTTCCTATTATTACCTAGTAACTACTTATATAAACCTTTACCAGCCACCCTGATATATAAATATTGTGCATAGTAAAGATAACAGATGACAGAAGTGAAGAAGTAAGAAGATAAAACATAAGATAAATAATATGGATAAATTATTATTAAAAAAAAGTTAATCTTGGTTGCATCCACACAACATTTACAGTAATTACACTTACTGAACGGCACTGTTGATGTATTTCTAGTTCCTAAAAACCAACTAAAGGTTCTTCTCATGCTGTTATTGAGAGTTGTGTCATTTCTTTCCATAGCACAGTGTATTTGTAATTCACCTCAGTTCTACACACATATTCTTCCTGGCAATTCATGCGTCAGAAAGTGTATTTCATGACAGGACTCTGTGATGTGACCTCTAGAGAGTTGTTCTAGCCTTTTCTTTCAATGTATAAACTTGTCCTTGTTTGGTTTTCAAATGTTAAACTTCTCTGTATGCTACATTTTGCTGTAAGGTCTTGCTCTGCTATGCCCTTTGGCTTCCAATGTATGGTTTAATACATTTCTGATAAGGTTGCCAAAGTAATTGTCACTCATTGTGGCATTTGTGGTCAGACCTGATTGCCCAGATATTAATTAATACACAATATAACACTATTCTCTATACATTCTTGGTGAAGTTAATATCTTCTTGATTTGTTGCTGCATAGAGATGTATAATTATATCATGTATTACTTTGATTCCTTTCTAAACCTTTGCAAATGGAATGGGAATCTATACTACTGGTTTTAAAATATATACCAATATTATTGAAATTAAAGTGGGATGGCATCTTTTGGCCCAGTGTGGCTGAAATTAGACGTAGAGATTTGTTTCAGTCTGCAAGCATCAGTTGAGGATTCTCTTGAAGGAATTTGAGCTGTAAGTATTGCAGTTAGCATGTATATCTCCTATGTCAAAATTAGTGTAGGACCGACTGAAATTGAGTACTGAAATGTAGTGGTAGGCTTAACATAATATGGCCATATGGTGGAACTGAACCCCATATTTGTTTGCTAAGTGCCAAGTGATTTTAAGTAGCCTTGTGAAATGTAAAACTCACAGTGTATACAGCTATCTGTTATCATTATTTCTGTGCGCCTGGGCAGTTTAATCACCACCTAAGGATGTGTATCTCTTGGTCCAATGGAAAGTTATCCAGAGGTTATGCAAGAACAAAGTAGACACCAATATAGTGTAGTATTTTAAATGTCATAGATGGGGAGGATATGGAAATACACTCACAGTTTATAGAGCATAGACATGTCTCCAAACGAATAGCATGAAATGGTATAATCTCCAATCTTAATATTGGATATTGGTGGTTAAGGTCCTCTGTGTGGTGATACATGAATAAAAATGTGATAAAATATAGTACATACTGTAATTTAAAAGGTGTGAAATAATAAGAAATGTACTCATAGGTGTAGAGCAAAAACCTGGTTTTGCTTATCCCCTTCCCGACTGCGGATGTACCAGGTACTTCCGAAAAAAGCTGGTCGTTAACGACCTTGGACGTACCTGGTAAATAGGACCCATTTACTTACCTGAACTGGTGATCCGCAAATAAAATGACTACCCAAAAGATAGACAAAGACTGGTGGTAGAATTAGTGCATGGAAAGTGTTAAAATACCACCATTTGAAATACCCTAGGGTGTCTACGTTTCAAAAAATATATGGTTTGATGGGGGTAAATTACATTGGCCTGTTTCAAAAATGTCCCAAATAGGACATAGGTGCATGATGACCAGCTGCGAAAATTCCAATTTGGAAAACTGGAATGCGCACCGTCCAAATAAGGTCTTTTAGCCCCCATAGAACCTGACACACTTATACATGGGGGGAATCACTGTACTCAGGAGATGTTGCTGAACACATATTGAGATGTTCTTTGGCAGTAATACATAATAGGAGCTGAGAATCCATGCCTAATAAATATTGTGCATAGTAAAGATAACAGATGACAGAAGTGAAGAAGTAAGAAGATAAAACATAAGATAAATAATATGGATAAATTATTATTAAAAAAAGTTAATCTTGGTTGCATCCACACAACATTTACAGTAATTACACTTACTGAACGGCGTAAGTGAAAAATAACACCAAATAATGATTACCTAAAAGGTTGACAAAGACTGGTGGTAGAATTAGTGCATGGAAAGTGTTAAAATACCACCATTTGAAATACCCTAGGGTGTCTACTTTTCAAAAATATATGGTTTGGATGGGGTAAATTACATTGGCCGGCTTCAAAAATGTCCCAAATTGGACATGGGTGCATGATGACAAGCTGCAAAAATTCCAAGTCGGAAAACTGGAATGCGCACCATCCAAAAAAGGTCTTTTAGCCACCAGAGAACACACTTATGCATGGGGTACTTTGCATCACTGTATGCATCAAAGTACTCAGAAGATGTTGCTGAACACATATTGGGGTGTTCTTTGGCAGCAACCTGTAAAGTTCTCCGTACATGTATTCTTAAATTGATATGTTTGTCCAAAAAAAAATCAACAATTATTCTTTTTTTTTTAATTTGGCATAGATTGGTGGTAAAATGGTTGCATGAAAAGAGTAAAAATACCCCAAGTTTAATACCTTAGGTTATCTTCTTTTAAAATGTTTATACATGTGAAGGGTTATTCAGTGATTCCTGACAGATATCAGTGTTACAATGTAACTTTCGTTAATTTTGGGGGGGTGGGGGGAAAATGGTTTGGAAATAGCAAAGTGCTACTTGTACTTATTGCCCTATAACTTGCACAAAAAAGCTAAGAACATGTTAACCAAGGGTATTTATAAACTCAGTACAACATTTAGAAACTATTTAGCATGGGTGTTTTTTGGCGGTTGTAGATTTTGTGGGGATATTTATGGGATGATAATATTAAGCAGTCGAGAATTGCCCACTATTTCAATCCTCTTAGATCTTAGAGATCGTTTATCAAATAAGTGAAAAGTATTCCAAGCAATAAAATCACAATCTGTTATAAAAATAGATTTATTTATTGTAAAAAAATTAATTAACAAATAATATTAGGCAGCATGCATGATAATAATCAGTGGATATTTAGTATAACATAAGTATGCAATACAATGGAATGGCTATACACGTTTCAGTGGCTAACAGCATCTTCTGTCACTTAATAAGATTTATGAGGGTATCTTTACAGACAAAAGTAAAGCTTTTCACAGCGAAAAGCCATAAAACCTTGGCTAACAGTTAAATCAACTGAGTAACCATTTCAATGCTGGCTAGATCCTCCTAGGCATATAGTATCCTATTCTTATGTAATTTGCAATTAAAATAACATTTGAACCAACTCATTAGTCATTTCCTGGAACCATCCAATAAGAATAATCTACCAGATTTTTACAAAAGCCGAATTTTAACTTGTCTAAAAAGATATCTTATCTTATATTAGAGCAAATCAATACACCTGGATAAAAACAGCGGTATGCTAACACGTAATACTATCACATTAATATATAATTATTCTTAATTCCACCTGCAGAATGGAATGTTTATAACTATATATTCTTTAGTTAACTAAGATTTCTAAATATGGAAATCTGACCGTGATTTATCCAGTCATATATCATGCTATTAGTAAATTTTAATTAATTTAAATTAATTAAATAAAACCAGCATAATTACCAGTTATGTAGATATTCTCATCAGATGAGTAGGTATTCCCAGGAATAGGATTGGTTGTATGGAGGTGCGTGAGTGATAGAGAAAAGTGTTGTTGGTTAGAAAGTATCAAAGAGTTGTGTCCAAGAGAGTTTAAGGGTAGAGTGTTAGTGTCAGAGATTGTTTCTTGAGTCTCTGTCTCTGCATGTCCGAATCGGAATCCCCAAACTTCAACTCGTCTCTCTCTGCCAACTAACCCTCTCTTCCCTTTGTCCTAACTTTTAAAGGGCCAGACTCTCTGTAGTTGGTAAGCCAATAGGAAGCAGTAGATGTGTTCAATCTATGGATGGCAATTTAGGTATTTGATCCATAGAGGGCAGTCTTGCCTAACTAATCCTTCTTATCCAGGAAAGAGTTAACTTTTCCTGATGACGATTTTGAAGTCATTTGGCTTATCTAAAATGACTTCCATAACTTAGATTTGCTGTCAGTTCAAAGCGTTTGTCTCAGTCTTTGTGGCAACTACTTTGATCGTAATTTGTAAAATTGACAGTTCTAAACTCAATTTCACCCCTTATTTACAATGGAACCTTGTAAAATTTAGAAAGTAAAATTAATTACTTAGTCTTCTCTGTCACTAGTGTCTGTGTTTATATAATGCATCTATTCCATTAACATTTAGACAGAGTGTTCCATCCCCCTGCTTCATTGCTTATCTTGGTTTGTTTATGTAATACATTCCTCAGTTCAAGCAAGTGGCTAGTTACAGAAAGTAAGAAGAAATCAAGGAAATTATGTGTTTTTGTTATCCTGAAGATAGCAAAATGGAGTCCGCTCTGTTGTGACTGACTCTGGCAATAAACACTTTTAATTTCTTTTTAGCACAAAATGTCTGTTGATATAAATATTCTGACATAATCCCCCTTAGTGATTTTTCATAGCAATGATTAATTTAGCCTATGAATAGGCACTATAGAAGTTACCAGACATATTGTGCACTCACATAATTTCTACTGATGTAGGCCCATGCATGGAATTAACATGTTTGTATATTTTTGTACCTGTAAGAGCTTTGAGCTTTGAACTTAGTACAATCAACCATAATATTATTATTAACATAGTACATTGTTTTCATTTGAAAAATGTTTTTGGTAGTTACATATGGTATGGTCAATAAAAAGCAAATCTCCATGATCAATTAAGAGAGGTGTAGCACTCCCCATCTCAAAGGCGAGAATTAATTGCATAGGTTCAATTGCATCGCATCGCATGAACAATATCCTTGGATACAAAGTACAGAGGTATGCGTCCCCCTGCCAATTCGATCATTCCAGTTTGCACTTCGTCAAGAAAAGTAAGTGTGTGGAACAATATTGGGTCATGCAGAAATAGAAGTTCACTCTTAAATAAGTCATGACTTTGGTGCAACTCAGTGGATTTGGCAATTAACTCCGAATGCAAATTTGTTATAACAACTGTGTGTTCCACAATAGTTAACATGTCTTGGAGAAGTGTTCTTTGCTGGTTTATCACCTGATGAATATCGTTAATGTGTTGCATTAGCGCATAGATTTCCATATCCAGCTTTTGGACAGTAATAGAGTTGGCTGCAGACATTCCAGTTGCGACAACTGCACCGACAGTGGCACAAACTAATGCAACAATTATGGCGGTGAGGAACCTTTTGGGTCAGTTGCTCATCGAAATAGGACTGGATACAAATGGTTTCCGGGCTTGCTCCAAGATGTTTTGCACACAGTCCTGTGCTCTTTGGAGGTGCATCTCGTACTAAGTCTGTAACTCAGGAAGCTGCATCGAAATGTTGTATGCCTTCTCGATGGAAATCTTGGGGTCCAAGCTGACGAACACACGTCAGGTCAGGATCCTCTTCTCTGTCAAGACGAATCCTGGTGTCTCTTGAATCAGGATGCCGGAGGATGGTCCCATCTCTGCGATCGGGTCGGTCCGTAGCTCATGGCACAGGAGCAGTACGATCCAGAAACATGCCACATCCTTCTTGGACATCTTTCGACAGTCACGGATCAGGAACTCGTTTCAGACTTATCTACAGTTATTCAAGGTTTGTTAAGCATAAAAACTTATAACAGTGTGACATCACTTGGCCTAGGACAACACATTATTACGATTTATCAACATATGTATTCTCTCTAATTCTATTTTTATACTACATCCCTCACTACATTTATTACTGACTCTTCAGTAATTCGCCTATAGCAGTTAAACAAGCTAGTAACCTGCTTAGAAAATGTAGTTATTGGATGGCAAGGAAATGGTTAATGACATGAACGTACATGAGATCATGACACATCACAAAATTTCACATCATACGATACCACGTGAATCAAGCATTCATCCAGGTTAGTCTTTCACCCTTCTGCATCTGAATCCACACCTATAATTCTTAATTGAGATTTAGGATGACAAGCACGCAACTGGTTAATGTGAACCCACTTTTCAATTAAATCACCATCCTTAGGAATTTTTATCGTATACGCTACAGGGGAAATTTTGTCAATGATGACATATGGCCCTTTCCAAGAAGGTAAAAATTTATTTTCCTTGACTTGGTTTCGCGCAAAGTTATACAGATAGACTTGATCTGTGATCTCATATTCCTTTTTCGTGGTTTTTAAATCGTAATAGGTCTTAACCCCTGTCGCTGCTTTTTCTAGATTCTTTTGGGCAAAAGCAAACGCATGCTGTAAATGCTTGCGCAAATCTTCAACATACTGATGCGTAGTGGCAGCATTGATCAAGTTATGATCCAAAGTATGATATAGTAAATGCTGTGGTAAAAAAATCTTTCTTCCTATCATCAATTCAAAAGGTGACAATTTGATAGCAGTGCTAGGTGTAGCTCTAATCACCATTAAAACTATGGGAAATTTAATGTCCCAGTCTTTACCAGACTCCTTAACATATTTCTTCAGAATATTAACGATAGACTGGTTATATCACTCTACCCCCCCTCCCTCACCCCCCCGCTAGATGCAGCACGGTATGCAATTCTTTGAGGCAGACCGAACCTGGAAAATACATGGTTAATCAACAAAGTGGCGCACACGGTACTCGTGTTCTCTTTACAAGGCAAACACTCTATCCACTTTGTGTACATACATGTAACGGTTAACATGTATTTGTTACCTCTTGAAGATCTTGTTACAGGATCTATAAAGTCAATTTGAATGTCAGACCAGGGTAATGACACCCCCCTCTTCTGAAGTGGTGCACGATGCCCATGGGGTTGATATTGCGGACAAATCAAGCATCCCTGACAGTATGTCTTAACATCTCTTAACATGTGTGGCCAATATGCATAATCACGCAATATCTCATATGTGATCTTATCACCACGATGCCCAGATGTAGGTGCATCATGTGCCTGTTGAAGCATTAATCCTCTGTATATAGTTGGGACCACCCATTGTTGTATACCATGTTTAGAAGTTCTGACCAGCAACCCATCCATGATACTAAATTGGACTTTATATCTCATCAAGATTCGTAAATCTTCATTATCTTTGCAATCCTCATCTGTGATGGGATTGGCAGTAGGGTCTTCTATATGTCTATAGAATATACCTATGACGGGATCGTTCTTTTGACTGGTAATCAGGTCCTCACTAGGAGCTTCTTGACTCCATTGCACGACGTTTAAGTCGGCATTATCTCTAGCCTGTCGTCTAGTTATGGCTTCAACATGAATTGAACCCATAAGATCATCAATGTTTAGGGTTTCACCATTGATGGCAGCTTGTTTTGCCAGTGAATCGGCTAAGTCATTACCATCCTTGTCAATACCTTCTATTTTAGAATGGCCTTTGGTTTTCTTCCAATATATGGTTAAACCATTTTCCTTAACCAACTCATCGATTTTACAAAACAATTTCCCATGTTTAACAGGTTTGTTATTGCTTTTCAGCATTTGGTTACGTTTCCAGCTAGGCAGATATTCGACGAAACTGTTGCGAACATAGTTGGAATCAGTTATAATAACGAATTCTTTGATACCATATTCTATTGCCATTTGAATGGTCTTATATACTGCACAGAGTTCGGCTATCTGACTGCTTTTGGGACCAATATTGTATCCTATAGATACATTGGGATAATCACCTGTCCAGGCGATTCCGATACCTGCAACTAACTTCTGTTCAGCACCAGCAGCGTGGTGATATGAACAACCATCAATGTATACCCACGGTAGTGGTCGACAGTATTTCTCATCATAAACTTTATAAGGGGATAGCAATTGCTCTTCTAGGAAGTCATCTCCGGTGTTATTATCATCCAGAGATGGAGCAGTACAGTCATGTAATTCTGCTAAACCTTGGGCAACTGGGCTTCTCTTATTATGTTTATAACGGACCTCTAGCGACCATCCCTGTAAGGATAGAGTCCATGCAGTAATCCGACTGTTAGAGAGATTACCGTCTCTGATTCTTTCACTCTGCAGATACTGTAGAGGTTGGTGAGCTGTTTCTACAATTATTTTCTCACCTTGGATATAGCTACGAAAATTGTGTAGTGCCCAGACAGTCAACAATAACGCCTTCTCACACATGTTGAATTTAACTTCAACAGGTGACAAAGTCTTGCTAGCATATGCAATAACCTTGTTTAAACTGTCCTGCTTCTGATACAGAACAGCACTTATGCTTAAATCGGTATATCCTGTCTCCAGATAGAAGGGTTTACCCCCCTCTGGGTATGCTAAACAGGGTGCCTGAGTGAGCTTCCTCGTCAGTTCACTTACCGCTTGGTCCTGAGGCTCCCCCCAGTTCCAGGTAGTTTCCTTTTTAAGCAGTGTAGGAGTGGTTTCGTTATTTCTGCATAGTTATCTATAAACTTACGGGAGTAGTTATACCAAGGAACGATCTTAATTCCCTGATGTTTGAAGGTATTTTAGCCTTAATTACAGCTTCAACCTTCTTCCTCTGGGGATTTAATACTTCAGAAGTTACCTCATGTCCGAGGAAATTGACATGGGTGCGACACCATTGCGCCTTTTGTAAAGAGAGTTTTATCCCTGCCTCTATTAACTGAGTGAGAACATGTCTAATCTCTATGATATGCTTATCAAAGGAAGTGCTTTTCAGCAAGACATCGTCGACATATGATAACGTTCCTCTCTCGAGTGCGTCAGGCATAGCTTAATGCATGAACACAGCGAATTCATGACCAGAGTTTATGTAACCGAAGGGCATACAGGTCCAGGAGTCACTTTGTAACTCTAGGGAATTTTAACTCTATGATGATATTTGTTTGGTTAACGTTTCCATTTTGTTTATCTATGTATCCCAGTCTTCTATTTATTATTATTTTATTATTTATATAGCGCCATCAGATTCCTTAGCGCTGTACAGTGGGTGGACTAACAGATATGTAATTGTCATCAGACAACTGGACGTACAGGAACAGAGGGGGTGGAGGGCCCTGCTCAATGAGCTTACAGTCTAGTGGGAGTGGGGTATAGTGACACAAAGACTAAAAGTAGGGGTACAAAGTAGGTTGTTAGAAAAGTATTCACTGAGGGCTTAGTAGGTAATTTTTAACAGTTGCAGGAGAGGAGTCATGGGGGTAGGGGATAAAAACCTGCTGACAGTTTAACTGATATGCTTACTTGAAGAAGTGAGTTTTCTCACTATTATATCTCACTGTTATTTGAGTATATCTAATTCACCAGAATACTCCTTTCCATTTTTGCCTGCCATATGACTAATTAGTTCTTGTGTGCATGGGATTGTCACTGTTTCCCAATTTCATTCTAAAAGTCATTTAGCTGCCGTAATAATATGTAGCATTAGCATTAGTGTCTTTTTTATCATATTTGGCCAGTTCAGGTTTAGCAGGACCACTTCAGACTTGAAGACTAATTTAATTTCTGTTATTTGGTATATTACATGGATTACACCTTTACAGAATTTGTTTATGGGTGCACACTGCCACCATGTATCAGATTGCCTTCATTAACATTACATTTCCAGCATCTGTCTGCTGACTCTGGGAAGATTTTCTTTAGGTGTTTTGGTGTTAGGTACCATCTATTTGAGAATTTGAATTGTGTTTCAGTAAGATTTAAGCAATGTATATATTTATATAATTTGTTTAGGGAACCTATATACTCTTCTTCTGCTATATGTACTTGCAATTATTTTTCCCATTTATTAATCAATTCTATCAGTTTGTTGTGTCTCTATCTGTATACAACTTTGGCACATTTTGACAAAAGATTTTTGTAATTCTCTCATTTGAGTAGGTGTGAGAGATTTGTAATTTTCTCCTCCTTGGTTTTTAAGGGGGCATTCTGCCATGAAGCCCTTAATTCGCAAATACTTAAAGGCTTCCCTGGGGGGAATATTAAATTCCTCCATAATTTGATTGAAGGACTTGACTTTATGTTCCTCTAATATGTTTTTAAATTCCCTTATCCCCCCTTTTGTCCAAGTATCTGTTTTAATATTATCTAGCATATTTGAGAATTGGAAGCACATCCATTATTCTATTTCTGAGTCCTATGTTAGTTGTAAATTTGTCCCACCAGCTTGTTAATTCTCTAATTATCTGTTATTTGGTTTGTGCCTCTAATAAATTTTTTATTCGGATATAAGACCCAAAATAGTAAGGATAGGTTTCCTACCCCAGTTATATCTTTTTCCATTTTGTACCATGTTTCTTGAGTTGCCACATTGTTTTGTGTGAGCAGTATATGAAATAGTCTACTAGCCATGTAACATTGAAAAATTTCTGGGCACCCCAATCCTCCATCCTGCCTTGATCTGGCCAAAACTTTAATTTCAACCCTTTCTTTCTTGCCTCCCCATAAAAACTTAAAAAAGGATGAGTGTAACAAAGATAACCATTTTTCTGGGAAATTTCGAAGGATTATTTTCAATAAATACAGCCATTTTGGTAGAATGTGTGCTTTTAAGATGTTGATTGTGCCCGACCAAGAAAAGCCCAGACCTTTCCAATCCCTTAAATTTTTATGTGTTTGTTTTAGTAGAGGTAAAATGTTGGCTTCTATTATGGTCTTTCAGATCTGAAGTTAGGGTTATGCCTAGATACTTTAGCCTATCCTTTTTTCCGGGGAGACCGATATTTTGTACAAGAAAGTTAGTTAACCTTTCCTTCATATTTTTAGCAATAAATATTGATTTATCCAGATTTATTTTGTATCCTGAAGCTTTAGGTTATTTATTTATCTCTTTTAGAAGCTCTGGGACCAAAATCTTTGGTTCTTTTAATGTAAGTAAGATATTGTCTGCATAAATATTTCATTTTATTTGTCCTACCACATTAGCAAAACCTTTAATTTTTTTGTTTTGTCTTATTGAAATTGCAGCACCATTATATAGAATAAAAGAGACAGAGGGCACCCTTGTCTAGTCCCATTCTTAATATTGAAATTTTGTAATGCAAAACCTGACCCTCTTACCTTTGCTGATGGAGAGCTGTAGAGAGCGGACACAGCTTGTAGTATTGGTCCAGTGATTCCAAATTGTTTTAGGTAGCGAACATGACACCCCATCCAACTCTATCAAACGCTTTCTCTGCGTCTATTGACAGTAACATTAGAGGGGTTCCATTGTTCTGTTTCTTCTACTATGTTTATTATTTTTCTGAGATTATTGATTGAGGACCTCCCTGGTATAAAACCAACTTGGTCATTATTGATTAACTGTGGTATAACTATTTTTATTCTGTCATCAAGAATAGAGGATAATATTTTGATATCGGTATTAATTAGTGAAATGGGTCTATAACTGCCAATCAGTTCTGGGTCTTTATCTGCCTTTGGGATGGGGACAATATTCGCTCTTAACAGCTCTCCATGACAGCATCCTGTTTTCATTATGTAGTTAAAGATGATATATGCACTTAAATGTCCCTGTAATCTGCTCTACATAGTTAGAACGATTCGCCCCCTCCATGTAAGAATTGTAGAGCATGTACGGAATATTAAAAAAGGCCTAGAAACACACTCTGTCTCTTTATAAGGGGATAGCAATTGCTCTTCTAGGAAGTCATCTCCGGTGTTATTGCCTTATACTTTGTACCCAAGAACCAAAGATACTCCACCTATTGTGTATGTATATGATTATTGTGTGTTGGTGTGGATAGAGAGGTAACCACACAGGTGTTTAGAGTTATTTGGCTAGCATTTGGGTTTCGAACTTAGACTCTGTACTTGTATTTGTCTTATAAAGATGATAGTGAGTTCCCCTTTTAATTGCTCTTTCATTAGTTTGTAAAATTTGTTTGTAAAGCCAACTGGGCCTGAAGCAGTCTTTATTTTAAGTTTATCTATAGATTAATTAACCTTTTCTTCTGTTATGGGCTGGTTTATCAGCTTTAATTGGCCGGGCAGGATTTTTGGCATAATTATACTCTTGAAGAATTTCTTTATCTCTTTTTCCATACTAAATAGTTCTTCTGGTAAATTGTATAAATCATGATATAATCCTTCAAACGCTCTTCCTATTTTTTTCTGGGGCTATTATGTTAGTTTCTTACTGCCCTTTAGATTCCACTTAGCTTGTAATACTTCTATCTGTTTGCTTGGTTGCTTTGTTTATTAACTGGTTGTTTATCTGTTTTTCTGTTTCTGAAATCTTCCTTGCTATT